GCAAGGTTGGTGGTTCAAACTCACCAGCCACTGCTGGATAACCCTATACAGAGTTGCTATGAATTGGAAATAACTTGATAGCACTTAACAACAATAACAACAAACATACAGATGGGAATTGTGGCATGGTGTAGTGGTTTAATGCACTGAATGAACTGCAAGGGAGATTTGAGCTACAAGGTTAGTGGTTCTTGGAATCTCCACACAGGATTGTTATGAATTAGAACTGACTTGACAGCACTTAACAATAACAACATTCAGATGAGGAGGTTTACTGCAGGGAGGAGAAGCATAGATACATCTTGGAGGCAACATAGTATCACTTTAAAACTACAAGATCAGAGTGACCAGAAAAAATATTCTTATAGTTCTAAAAATCACTTTTATCTCATTGTAGTAACAAAAATGGACCAAGAAGGACCGATCCCTAAAGATTTCTATCCAGACAAATTTCAATATAACTGTTGAGGTCCAATCTGGACAGGAATCAACATGCTTGAAGCCTGTTTATTTATGTTCATCTAAGAGCATCTAAAATTTAACCACTTTTGAGTGTACTGTGGCTCTTTGGGTGCGTCTTTATTTTTCATCTTTAAAAAAGCTGCATAAATGCATTAATCAGTAATTTAGTAATTATAATATATTCTTAAAAACATATTTGGATTTTGAATTTTTAGTTTGCTTTTATGTTTTTTTCTGGAATTTTTTGTTGTCTACTGTAGAATACTTTATGATAAAATTCTTATATAAACAAATAATTAAAAAGAATAGACAGATGTCATCGTTAATGTAATGAACAATGGATCTTAAATAATAAATTGTTTGTGTATATATTAAGAATAGGTCATTTTCAGACTACCAAACATGTTGCCAGAAAATACCTGCTGTTATTTTGTATGTTTCAACAAGATTTCTGAGACAGAATTCTGCAATTCTTCATTTGTATTTTGAAAGTTTCCTTGTTTCAAGTTGGTAGCCATTCTCCAAAATTACTAATCCGATTTTCTGTCAGGATGTGCTCATCATTACTTCTGCCAAGAATTCCAGACTTGGATTCTCAGCTATTGGACTTGACATTGTAGTTTATGTACTATATCTATATAAAAACAATATACTTATATGTTCCATTACTGAAATGAAAAGGCAAAACCAAAGCTCTGTAGTTGAATTTATCCTTTTGGGATTTTCTAACTTTCCTGAACTCCAGGAGCTGATCTTTGGGGTTTTCTTGGTTATTTATCTTGTGACACTTACAGGAAATATGATCATTATTAGTGTCATCTCCCTGGACCAGAGCCTTCAGGTTCCCATGTACCTGTTCCTTCAGAACTTATCCATAGTGGAAGTGAGTTTCAGTGCAGTCATTACACCTAAAATGCTGGTGGTTCTTTCAACGGACAAAGCGACTATTTCTTTTGCTGGCTGTTTTGCACAGATGTATTTCATTATTCTTTTTGGTGGGACTGAATGCTTTCTTCTGGGTGCAATGGCATATGACCGATTTATTGCAATCTGCCATCCTCTTAACTATCCAATGATTATGACCAAAATGCTCTTTATGAAGTTAGTAATGTTCTCATGGACTTCATGGATCCTGGTGGCTACTGCACAATCCATCTGGGTGTTTAGTTTCCCCTTTTGTGGTTCCAATGAAATTAATCATCTTTTCTGTGAAACTCC